TAATAATATATATATATATATATATATATATTATATATATATATATATATATATATATATATATATATATATTCGTGAAATATATATATATATCCGCGTGACTCGAATTACATAAATCTGGCAGAGAGTGGTTCAGCGGCTGACATTGAGTGGCAGTTGAATGCGCAAAGCTCGGAATAATTATCATTCGTATCCCAATAAATGAGGTTCAAATGGAGGCATTTAATTACATTTAAATATAGTGCAATTAGCTAGATTATACAACCATTTGTTGTAGCGTTCTTCAAATCACACTGTAATTGAAATTCTGCTCGAGTTGATGAACAATTTAAATAATATATACGCATTAGATTTTATTGCGTAGTCCCGAACGTGTTTTGTCCAGATCTCGTGAAAAACATGCCAGCAATATATCATACTTTGCAATAATAAAATAGGATTTTTTATTTCGAAAAATGCAACCGTTTTAATCGTTGCATTTATTTCTCGCTCTCTGTTATTATGATTGAAAGCATTCCTATCTCTAAGTCTGAATCACGGACGCACAAATCCGGTCATTCGCATTGAGTGACAACAGGATATAGGATCGTCTGATAATTGCTCTTTTAATTATACATCCTGTTCCCGAATCGACAGATCGATAACACTGGAATCTTGTAGTCGGATGAAGCTTTAATTAACAATTCGTGCAATCATTATCCGTCTATGCCCGCGCATAAAGAAAGCAATTGAATATACCGTCTATATCTAGCAAAGTAGAACGAATACTTGGAATAGTTTTACACTGCTTTCAGCATTCTTTATAAATAAAGAACAACTAATGGGCATTGAGAGAAACATGTTAAACGCGATTTGCTTATTATTATCGTGAAATATCATTACTGCGAAATATTTCTGTTTTCGTGTGTCCTATGAGACATTGATATAATATATCTAATAAATCCATACAGCTCCTTCGCCACGTTGCATATACTGCATGTCGTCGACGGCAATGCAGTTTATGTGTACGACCTGAATTGCATACACCGTATTCGAGATTGCTGCGATCGGCATTGATTGCTCCGGAAATTCCTGCTTATTACACTCGGGACCTGGCGGAGCATTCATTAATGTTGCGCTTCGCAAATATTAAACATGATTATTTCCTTGTATGCAGCGTTTGACGCAAAAAATCGATATAGGAAGATTAGGAGATTTGCGCAAAATCGATGAAATAACGATGCGCGTCATCGTGCCAATTCTCCAATCGCGCTGCTGCTGCTGCTGCTGCTGCTTTACGCTCGAATTCGATAACGAATTTTACACGTATTGACAGCGAGAAAACTAGTAAAACGTCATCAACCGAGCTTCGCATCGGCGATCGATGGATAATTAGCGAATAATAGAGGCGGGGGCTCCTTTTTTTAGCCGGGCTGCGAAGTTAAGGGAGATTGCTCACGGTTGATTCGCTAATGATCGATCGGCATTGTTCATCGGACTCGCGGTCAAAAGGAAACTTATTACGGTTTATTAAGGCCGACTTCCGGACCGTCGCGGAAAGGACGGTCGGGCGGGCCGTCGGCAATTGGCTGTCACAAAAGGAGCGACGTCGATGACCGTCAGGCGACTAATTAGATGGAATGAGATAATTTTTCACTTTTTGTTTCTTTTAAAGCGATAGAATAGAAACTGATTCCTAAACCCCTTTCTCTGTTCTTCTTTTTCCAGGTGCAGAGGATGTGTTCAGGTTTACGGGAAACGAAACGCACACAGACTACTTTCGGCTCGTGCTCAGGGACGGGAACTATCTCCTGGTCGGCGGAAGGTAAATAGAGGATTCATTTGGAGCGAGTGCTTTAATTAAAGGGCCGCTCCTTCTTCTACTACTTCTTCTTATTCCTCTCCCTCTTCGTCTACCCCTCGCTTCTTCATATCCTCTTCGCCCTCTCGCCCATCCATCTCCCGGCGTATCATTGCGCCGCTGTCTGCTCAAGCGCGTGTGATTGACGGTGATCTCAAGGTAAATCGAAACGTGTAATCCCTTCTATATATCTCGTGTAAACTCGTTTTATCGCGTAAATTGAATACTCGTCCACGAGTATTTTTTTAATCCGATCCATTCGACTTCTCCGTTGTCAATATCGATCAGATATTTAATTGATACATTTTGTTTAGCGGTATGTGAAATATATATTCGCTAAATCTGGTTCAAGAGGTGGATTTTTTCGTTCCGGTAATTAGATTATATTTTAATTGTACGCTGCTCTCTAACATGCATGGATTTTTGGAACAGGGATAATGATTATTTTAATCGTAGGAATTAATTAGAAATAAATCAGTATGGATTCGTTTGCGTATCGTTTAATAATTACCAATTTCCTGTTTGATAGCGGTATTGCTAATCGCGCCATAGGCAGCCTTTAAAATGCATTATTAATCAATATCGTATACAGTTTCAAGTTCTATTATTATTTTGTTGTATAGTATGCACTATAGAGAGGAATCAACGTGTTTAAACAGATACACATATTCGAACGAAAAATATCTTTATAATGGATAGAGTGCGTTGCAATTTATATGCTCTGCTCATTGAAAGGTAATAAACAACCAATTTTCGTCCAATATACATAATTATATCCTTATATAGTATTATATTTGTAATGAGATAATTAATCATGTCAAACACAACAATAGATGTCACATTATCGTGACTGTTGGACCATATTCAATCGATTACCGACGAGCGACATTCGCGAATTAAATTCTCGAATCTTTACCGTCCGCAATATTATAACATCATAAATATAATATGTAATATGATTTCGTATAAATTTTCATTATAGAATTTCATATAAATGCCGTAATTATATCTGTCAAGGAGATGTTTACGATCGTATCAAGATCTAACAAAAATGCGATATGATATAATTGCAGATACAAATTGCTATTGTAAGTATTATTAATTGTTTGTGCACAAAAGCAGCCTTTAGATACGTCATTAGGAAATGTATTCAAACGATTCGATTGTGCTCCCAGTTAATCGATTAGCGCGCTTTACTTCTTCCTTTTTGTTCCTTCGTATTCTCGGACGTGTATACACAAATAAATAGCTATTCATATCTCGTATGCGCCGAATGCGCGCTGTTCCAGCGTTAAAATCAGTCGGCAAAAGCGACGATAATCAGGTCGTACACGGATTAAATGCATTGTACGTGAATGAACTCTGATATATATCCAGGCTCGTTCGTTATTGATCGGATTATACTAATTGCTCGGTCGATTTGCCAGTGCCGCCGTTGCCACCGTGTATACACCGTCGATGATACGAAAATTTGTTTCTTGCTCGTTATGACGGAGTTACGGGATATAATCGTGCATCCTGCGGGATGCCTTGTGACTATTTCGCGGTCGGCAAAACCTGCGATCGGCGCAGCCGACGTACAGCCAGCGAACGTGAAGAGGGATTCCTTCCCCTTTAAAGTGCTTCTAAGCATACGGCGGGCTGTTTAACGAAGAAGAGTTAACGATCGACTACCGAAACTTCAAACATCGCTTTCTCAGCCAAACCCTAGCTAACCAGACAACTTCGTGCTTCGGCATCGATATCTACTTTAGGCATCTAACTTCGCAACTTAAGAAGGTCTTTTCTCCATTTAACACGCACTAGAATCCTTTGTTTTCCTGATACTTGTAACAGTCCATTTAATAACATCAGAATTTAGCTTTAAAAATATCAAATAAATATAAAAAAATACCACTGATTGAAATAAAATTTAAAATTTATATTTCATTATCTTTAATTCAATGACCCTTACGTTAATAATTATGTAATTATCGGCAAATATTGGCAATAAAAGAGATTAATTATTCATTAGATTTGTGCAAGAGCTTAAAACATTTCTTCCGGCAAAAGATCTTTATTTTAAGTGAAAAATCTCGTACAATCTCATTTCAGAAATCTGGTGCATAATCTCAGTCTAACTGACTTGACGGAACAGCAGAGGCTGACCTGGTACTCGACAGAGAATGACGTGAAGATGTGCGTTGTCAAGGGCACACCCGAGGAGAACTGCCAGAATTACATTCGCATTCTGGTGAAGACCGGGCCGAACAATCTGTTTGTGTGCGCCACTAACGCCTTCAAACCCATGTGCCGCGACTACACGGTGCACGCGGGCAACTATTCGATGGAGAAGGAGAAGGGCGGCCAGGCGAAGTGCCCGTACGATCCGCAACATAACAGCACCTTCGTCTACGTCGACGGTGAACTCTACACCGGCACAGTCGCCGATTTTGCGGGCATGGACCCGATCATCTACAGAGAACCGCTGCAGACCGAGCAGTACGACTCAATGAGTCTGAACGGTGAGTTAGAAAGCTGATTCGATCGAGTCGGTTCTCAGCCGAATGATTGATGACGCTTAATGATCGTTGATTTACATTGAAAGTCGGCAGTTAAACTCTGATCGCAACTCTGGATATCAATTTTCATTTTCGCAGCACGCTTTTACGCCATTAATTCGACACGGCGACAAGTGCGATTCGAAGTCGATAGTTAATGATCGAAACTCTCTGAATATTAATTTTCATCGGGATATTGTAGATAACTGCTAATGCGTGGAATGCGATTTAAAATATGTAAAGAGGAATATTTTTGTAAGAGAAAATTAATAATTTCTCTAACTGTATTTTAAACCTCAAAAAAACCAGATTTATTCTAAATAAATTATAAATTGAAGAGTTTTTTAACAATCGCTCGAACTAGCTCAATTTAATTAACCGTTCGGTGTTTTCTCCGTTCTTCGAAAATAGCGAATATCGGGAGCAGAGCATTTCTGCAAATAGCGATTTTGAGACTTAAGAGATCAGTCTACGATTAGATCGAATTAATTGACTAAGATAGATAGCTTATAATCCGAGATCCGATTAATTCAATCGTTACTTTGTAATTGCAAGGAATTGTAGCGAAAGACCCGTTTATTCGTATCGTCGGAAAGTTTGCGCTTCTGTATCGACACTCAGTCTCGGCGCTTTGCGAACTTTGCATTTCCAACAATAAAACAATAGTCGCATTTATCGGAAGTATCTGCGAGTAACTTTACGAGAAACGAAGTTATCGACATTCACATTATTCAGAAATCGAATGAGAAAAGTTTAGAATGGGTGGACTGTGATTAGCCGATATTAGATAAACATGATTAATAAGCCGCTAGAAATCCGGGAAAAAGAGATTCTTGAATAAGAAGTGAATAAAGTTGGGGCAAACTTTTCCAACGTACAATCGACAGGCGTCGCTTATGCTTCGCATCGTTTGCCAAATTGCCGTCAAGGCTATTACATCTCATTATCGTTCTCACGTGCAGTTTTAATCACGTCGTTTTATCGCGCTCACCAACTTCTGGAATGATCGTATTAATATCCCGGGACGACATAATTATTATCCATTATCGACCTCGTTACGCCGTCGTCAAACGTGATCCCTCTCGGGCAGAAGGCAACCGCGCCGGGGCGAACGCGTGTCTGGCTGTTTGAAAGTCGCTCCCGCATAATACATATCCGTGTCCATTAAAGTTCAACTGCGAGTTCGATTCAATATTTACACGCCAAGTTCGGCCGGTGCCGGCGTCGGGTCGACTTTGAAAATCCGGCGCACGCTCCGGGAAATTATTCAGAAATGTCATGTGATCGAGCCACGACCGTGCTCTCGGTGTCTCTAATCCACACGGTGTAATTCCGAGATTAACCGTGCGTGTACGTGGTTCTCTAAGCTCCCTCGTTGTACTTGGCCCAAGATTATTCCACGGATCTTCCGAGCTTGTGTAACGACGGAGCTGTGCGGCGGCCCCCCGTGTGCCCATCGGCTCGAAATTTGCCCTCGAGATTGTAATATGCCCCCGATGCATCGTAATACGAACACCGTATGTATAATAGAAGCGCGATAGTGTTTAATGGAGTAATTATGTGATTTTTAACCGGCGAGACATTTCCGTTGATTAAATTGTGTTTGACTAGCTGGAAGAGAATCGCACAATATCTCGAAATTACGCAATTTCGCAATTTTATTTTCGGCACGTTTCGTAAAATTTGTGATACGCCATGTGTTTTTATTTCATTTAGCGAAACTTAAACACGATTTTAATTAACTCGATTGTAGACATGACAGATTTTTATCGTACTTTTCGAAGCATTCTGATACACGAATATGATTTTTACGGTTATTGTTCGCCCAACATTACTACATTTGCGCGTCGCGTACGCGCGCGCGGAGCCTTTGTGGATTTAATAAATTAAAAACTGGTTCTCTCGCGGCGCGGCGTTACGCCACTGTGTATTATATGAAACTTCAAAGCACCATCTTCGTCGTTGCGGCGTTAAAATTGATACGTCACCTCGCTCGAGGCGAAGACGGCGCGCGGCCTCCAGTCCGCCGGGGTATTTTAATTGAACGGTGTACGAGAGCGCTAATCAAGTTTCTCCACCCGTTGGACAATATTGATTTTCTCCGCGTCCGTCGAAAATTCAATTCTACCCCGTCACCGTTCCACAACCGTCCCCATTCCCTCCGTCGGTTCCTCCGGCAAATCGCGAATCGAAAATCTCCGGACGGCAGCGCGGGGACGCGCGCCGTGACGTCTGGAGAGGAGCATTTTTCTAATCGGTCTCGGTGGGATGAGGTTGGGAGGTTGAAATCGGGGAAGGCGATGGAAGTGTTTCCCTTTCGGGGAGGGCGCCTGCCTCGATCTCTCTCCACCGCGAATTTTCTGCGGCACTTTGTCTCGGCGGAGGTGCAGTTAAACGCGACGCGAGGTGGAAAAGGAACCGAACGGGGAAGGAAGCGAAGAAGGAAGGAAGCGGACCGCCGGCGACAGATAGAGAGAGACGGGGCCGGCTAAGAGGAGCTCTCCCGTCGAGGGGTTGGGTAAAACGAGGAGAATTTATGGGGCGGAGAGCGACGGGTCGTTCGGATATACCTACGTGGCACGGCGAGATTAATATTACTTTATGAATCCTAAGAAGCTTATGAAAACCCTGTCAAGTTAATAAATCGATAAAGTTTTCCCACTTTATCGGGCGGCCGACCGAGACGGCGGAACCGCGACGGTTTTACCAGGCGACGGCGTTGAAATAACCGAGAGAAAATAAAAGGGCTCTTTTACGCGTAGCCGGCTTATTGACGATGGAAGTTGCTCGAAATACGCGCGTGTGCGGTGATACGGTAGCGAGACGAAAAACATACTCGCGAGCTTCAGCTCTCTCGCGTTCGTTATTCTACCTGCATAGGTAAAGTCATCCGCGCCCGTAGTCCCGCGTACATAATTTTCGAACATTAATAACGGGCTAATACGTCGTTTGTCAACGTGAGTGTCTTGATGCGCTTAATCGTCGTAATTACGTTCAATTAATTACCGCGATTGTCGAAATTAATGGCACAATTAAGAAAAGCGTTTGTTAACGTAAATAACTGTACTCTCGACGTCATTAATTTTTTGAGCCACTCAAACGCATGAGAATTAATGCCCGTCGTAATGCTTCATGTGGAGACGGAAGTTTTTAAATAAATCGCGGCGAGACTTTTCTCCTTATTTTCAGGCTATATGAGCGTTGTCTGGTTTATTACACACCATCGATTGCGTTCCAGTACGTGGTTATTACGCTCATTTATTTATAAGGAAAATTTACGGCGCCATTTACTATCGCCACGCGCGATGGGCAATGGTGGTTAATAATAATGGCTACATATTCTAATTGCAGCACCGAACTTCGTAAGCTCCATGTCCCAAGGAGATTTCGTCTACTTCTTCTTCAGAGAGACTGCTGTAGAATATATCAATTGCGGCAAGGTAAGAAATCGCCGGCGATTAATCGTTTCCGCACGTCACTTACATAAACTTTAGAAGAATGGAATCACGAGGCGCACTTTTATATAATTATTTAGTTCTTACATAATACGAAATAATACCGTGTTCCGAAAGTTTCAGCTTTATGAAGCGCGGTGACGTAACAGCGCGACCATCAAAATCGATCATGCAATTAAGGGAAGCGATACTCGTTTAAATAGCATTACTCCGTCATTACTGCCTCATTTTGGCTCGTGAGATTTAATACGGGCTGTGCCGTGCGTTAAAATAATTTTTGCGACAAGCGAAATTTCGAATGGGAGCTCGTTTGCGACTATAAAAGTCCCATCGTCGACATTTTGTCTGCTGAATTAGCGCATGGCCAACGGATAACAATGGAATAGAAGAATAGAATCGCGCCGGATAAGATTAAGCCCCGGTCAGAGTCTGATAATACGCACAAAAGTTTCGCCAAAGTTCGCAGCCGCACTGTTACCTTCTCGGCAAACGATTTTTAACGTCCGGTAAGACGATTACTTCTCTTTCGTCCATCGTTTCGCATTGAAAATCGGCTTTTAAAGACTCGTCACTTCCTCTCTTTCACGTTACACGCGGAGAGAGTCTCTCAGGCGAGCCGCGCCCGCAACAGCCGAGCGGAAAGTTGTGAGCGTCGGATTCATTGCGAGCGAAGCTCAGGTCGGGCTCGACTTATTGTCAAAGGCTGCTTGCGCGGAGCCGAGCTTTCCGTGCTCTCTGATAATGACGCATAATTTTATGGCGAGCGAAGGATAAATCCGGGCGGATCCCGGACGGAGAAAAAGTTGGGACGCGATATTATGGGTAAAGATTGTGCGACTCTTCCTGCGGCGAATGTCGCGGAGAAATTTTATGCGACCCAGAATAAATTTATAATCTCGACGGGGCATAATAAATTATTCCGAGGTCTTCGAGATCTCGCGCGCGCGCGCGTTTCCACTCGTTTTATATTCGTTTATGTGCCCGAGTGTACCTCGCGAATTCTATTTTAATTATGGGTCACGATAAATTCTCCGCTAAATCGCTCGCGTCGTTTTACCCCCTTTTGCATGCTCGGGAACATTCTGCGAATTATATTTTCTCGAAAATCACGCCACGAGATCCCGTATGTTTCGAAAGAAGTTTCACGCAACGCTTTTCGCGACGTTTTACGCTGCCCGAAACGTGCGTGCGTGTCACTATAGTAGTATAGTCACTTAAAATCTAAAATTAGATTTTTTCAGTCGCCTGCCCTTCTTCTACGTGACACATTTTTTGAGAGAAACGCAATTATCTCGCCTTACACTTTCTGCTATGAAATTTTACGAGACGCAATTTTCACATTCGCAGGCTGTGTACTCTCGCGTTGCGCGAGTCTGTAAATACGACCGGGGCGGACCGCATCGTTTTCGTAACAGGTGGACGTCCTTCCTCAAATCGCGTCTCAATTGCTCTGTCACCGGCGATTTTCCGTTCTACTTCAACGAGATACGTAAGTAAATAGATGTACGTGCATGCGATACGTGCATTGTATACACTTCTGGTCTGAAAAGCCACAAAATAATTTTTTGGAATTTTTTAAGAAAAAAGAGATATCAAAATGTGATTTTTTTATAAAAAGTCACTTCGCACATATATTTTAGATACATAGAATGTTTAGAAAAAACAAAAAAAAGCAATTCTTTCAATCCGCCAGACTAGAACAGATTCCTCCAGCCCGGTGTCTGACCACACTGCATCCACTTCTACTTAATCTACTGAAATTTACAATTTTATGAGAAATCTATTTTTAACATCTCACAATTTATCGATACTTGCACATTTTATTATTAGTAGTTTTCTCACAAAATTAAACTATTTCTGCCAGCTATACGAAAATATATTTTCCGGATATCGCAGAATCGACGACCGAGTTGATATCGGGCCAGTACGGCGGCACGTCGGCGCAACTCATCTACGGCACATTTACGACGCCGGTGAACAGTATAAGCGGCTCGGCGGTGTGTGCGTTCTCGCTGCAGGATATCGCCGATACCTTCGCCGGCAATTCAAGGAGCAAAGCGCCATGAACTCCAACTGGCTGCCGGTGCAAGACACCAAGGTGCCGGATCCGCGACCCGGTCAATGCACCAACGATTCGCGAACGCTGCCTGATCTGACGCTGAACTTCATCAACACACACTCGCTAATGGACGAGTCGGTGCCGAGCTTTTTCGGCCAGCCGATTGTTATACGCACCAGTTTCCAGTAAGTGGATCGCTCGAGCTGAGAGCCCAGTCGATTCCGGCCAAAATCCAAATTGAACGCGAACGACGCGCTCGCGGAGCCTCGCCGGGCTTTTATCCACGCATCGCTGCGTCGTGTGTTTTGCATCGATGCGAACGTAGTTTACGTTGTTGTATGCCGATAGACACTTTTATTCCTGCTACATCTTTTTTTTTCTCGTACAACGAATCATGATATGGAAATTGGCCTCTTCGCTTGTTAATTCGTCAACAACACAGGCCGGAAGACATCGATAACGTTCGTTCCGTTGTTTTTCAGTTACAGATTTACCCAGATTCGCCGTGGATCCACAAGTGAAAACTCCAGGCGGCAAGACTTACGATGTTCTCTTCATCGGCACGGACAACGGCAAGGTGATCAAAGCGGTGAACGCCGAATCGGCGGACTCTCACCAGAAAGTCAGTCCGGTCGTTATCGAGGAGATACAGGCGTTTCCGCCGACGGTGCCGGTTCGCGGCATTAAGGTCGTCCGAGCCTCGCAGGCGGGCGACGGCCTCGAGGACGGTCGATTAGTCGTCATCGCCGACAGCCAAGTACAGGCGCTCAGACTCCATCGCTGCTACAGCGGCAGGGTATTATCCTGCAGTGAGTGCGTCGCATTGCAGGATCCGTACTGCGCCTGGGACAGTACTGATAACAAATGCAGAGCATTGGTCGGCCCGGGGGTGACGGACGCCAGCAGATTCTTGCAGAGCGTCGCAACCGGCATACACGCGGCCTGCCCGACGAGCAAGAACATCAATAAGGACGCCGGTAACGTCGGCGCTATCTCCACCAATAACAAGTTCCCAGCGGACTCGATGATACCGAACAAAGAGAGCCAAGGCGGTGAGATCATCAATATCATGCACGACGAGGAACAAGCTAATTCAGGTACTCGATGGCTTGTTGATCGACGTGAGGAAATTTTGTCTTTCTCTCGTTTGCACCGTCGCGTTATTGAATTAATGTTTTATCACAGGTCCGGAAGTATCCGCAGCTGATACTCCTCTTCCGCAATACTCCGTGGAGACTCTGGTGATGGCCGTAGTAGCCGGTGCGTTAGCCGCATTGTTCGTCGGCTTCGTGGCCGGTTATCTGTGCGGTAGAAAGTGTAGGAAAGACGAGGACGACAATCTACCGTATCCGGACACGGAGTACGAGTACTTCGAGCAACGCCAAAACGTAAACAGGTAGGACATCTGCTTCAACAGAGGAATAGACACAGCAGCCGAATAATTCTTCAATTTGCCGCTCTTAGTAATGTCTGTCTATCCACCTTCAGCAGGTTGGCGCCTGAGCCAAAGCTGCTGCCGCAAGAGGAGGTGACCTACGCGGAGCCCGTGCTGGTGCCGCAACCGCCGAAACTTCAGTCGCCGAAAGGCACCATGAGAAAACCACCGCCCACGCCCACAGAGACGCTCTTTCAATTTCCGGATGGTTACGGTTTCCGCGGCGGTCCGCGCGGCGACAACTTCGGCACCTTGCGCTCTCATCAGGGCGACGCGTATCGCCGCAACGATGGCTTTGCGACCACGCGCAGCGTTAAGAAGGTTTATCTCTGAGAAACGAGCGAGGAGGGGGGTGGCCGTCACCGGAGCTTAGGACGGCCAGCGCGCAACCGCCACAACGCGACGACGGCCGGCAGGAGTAGTCGCGCTGTGACGTCCGGGGGACAGTCAAATCGCGAGCTCGCCGGCCCGAGGGCACTAGAATCACCCTCGCCGTCGTCGAGTGCGTCTTCGAGTTCCCCGTCCCCTCCCTCCTCGTCACCCTCACCCACCCTCGTACCGATCGCCATGAGCGGCCAGCAACCACCGCCGCCGCCAACGCCACCCTGCAGTTTTATCTATCGATCATAGTCGTCATCGACATCGTCGTCGTCATCATCATCGTTATCGCCGTCGCCATCGCGGTCATCATCGTACTCTGCTTTTTGCTCGACGACACAAAGAGACGGAAAGGAAAAAACGTTCTACAGTCTTAGCGTGCTATTTCAAAATGTATAGATTGAATAATCGGAAGGTGAATCCAGGCAAGAGATCTCACAGTACTTCGATGGGAACTTTTTTTGTTTCTTGTCTTCGATGTCAAAATATCTCTTTGTTCCGCGCGTGGCTTTTATTTTGACACTGAATATTGTTTTCGTCGTAAAGAGAAATTACGGCATTAGAATTTTGTATTGATCGAGTCTAGACGTTACTGTTTATTTGCTTAGCAGGAATCGTTCGAGGAATTTGCCTTGCGAATCGATAGTTTGTCATGAACATTGCAAAACGTCAGTCCAACCAATCGTGCGTAGAGCAGGTTATTTACGCGTATTCACGAATCGTCGCATAATCATAATACAGCATTTCATAATTCTCATAGGAACTGCATTCCAGCCGGAAATGTTTCGATGGACGTTACGTTGATCAATAACTCGCTTGTTTGTGCGTAATGAAAAATAAGTGAGGCGAGCGCAAACAGTTTAGCATAGCAATTGTTATCGGTTATCGTAGACCTTTAGTACTAATTCGTAAAAGAACGGGACAAGTAGAACAAAGAAAGAAAAAAAAGAGATTCTACGGTTATTGATGCTCTAATATATTAAGTCGAATAAACTTTGATGATTAGGCTCGATTGACAAAATAGTGCGAACGTTACGCGACGATTCGCAGCAAAATGTCGTAATCTCCACTATTTTATTAATTGACAATTAGTATCGAGATCGATGTGTAATTATAAAGCTATACAACATAGTACTGCGACGGAGGCTTTTTTCTTAAAGTCAATTAAAGGAGACTATCCGCAAAACTCGAAACACGCAATTTTTCTAACATTGTAATATTTAATACGAGTGATTGATAGTGCCATTATAGATCACGTAACACTGCTGCGTGCCTCGAAATTAAAGGCGATCATGATGATCATCGACGTTGTTGGCTGAATGTTTTTTGTAATTGGCCAAATGGTAACGTGTTAAATGCATTTAATTAAATGTACTAATCTTTATATATTTTTTTTTGTTTTATTTTGTAATTTTTTCTTTCTATTTACTATATTTAATATATTATAAATCGTATAGCTATGCACCTGAGGATTATTAGACTATTATTAGACTTAAAGTTTTTGCTCGGACATAAAGAAGTAATCTTTAAAAGCATTATCTTTAAAAGTCCACCGTTTTTTAATATAACTTTTACATTTTGATGTTTTCATATTTTGATAAAATGTGAATTTTATCGAGTGATATTTTGTTATCACATTAAATAGAAATTTGCATCATGCATAAAATTGTGGAGATTGCTATATTGAGTAATTTAAGAAACTTTGACGTGTCGCAGCTAACTAACGCAAACTATGTTGCTGCAGATATGTTGAAAAATGAATCGTCCAAAGACGATTACGTTCTAGTTTTTTGTATGCCGGTTTATCTAGTTCTGTGTATGCTTCGGAGACGCGCGTTCTCAACGCCTGCACATATACGTAATAGAGAGCGGATAAAAGTGACAGAGGGAGATGAAGTGAGAGAGAGAGAAAGAGAGAGAGAGAGAGGCACAGCGCTTATATGTACATAATACATATATACAAAGCATATACATCATTTAGGGGTTTTAAAGACAAGAGGAATAGAAACGAATACGAAAAATCAGTCCACCTAACCTGGGCCCGATGGTGTATGTAGACATCTATCTTAAAGTGCTTCTTATTTCAGTGTGTTTAGAAGTAAACGTGTATGTGATATATTCTATATGACGAGATGCTTTCTAAGCATCGGAGGGTGAGAGAGACGTGGAGAGGGTTTTTAACTTTGGGAGCTCTCTCTTTGGATCTGAGATGAGACAGACACACGTGGTGATGAATCACGGTCTTTTGTTCACAAGAATTCGTCGCTGCGCTTTATAAGCATTTTTTGTACAGTTTCTTTTTTTCTTTGTGTCTATTTTTTACGCATACATGTACATCAATTTCTAGTTGATTTCTGACATCTCCGGTCTCCCGCAATTCTATGACGTCGCGAAAAAGCTACATTCCAACATATTGTCTTTCATCGATCGTGGAATTTTGTGAACAATCGAACCTGAACTCTTTGACACGCACATACAAGCACACGGATACAGACTACAGGTTGTAAACTTCTATAAATTCCATTACCACTTTTTTCTTTTAATTAATTGTTAACTCGTTTAGTTTTTTTGCATGTATATTAAAGTATGTCTGAAGAGCTCGCGCCGGAAAATCGTAATCCCTCAAATCGTAAGACTGAACAGATACTCTAAAGACGAAATATTCTCAATGCGTTTCTTTTTTCTTTTTTATAAGTTTTATAATCAGCGTGAACGAAAAACATTTTCTTTAAGTGACACAAAGATATCGATTAAACTTTTTTTATTATACCTTAAGTGATTCCCGTTCCAAGCACAAATTATTCTTTATTGCGTTTTATCAATAAACTAACGGAATTTTATCCAAGTCGTGAAAAGCGAATTGTTAACTTTTATGCTATTGATAATATAATCGAATAATCCTTGTAAATCAATGCGAATTTGTAAAGTAAAAACGGCAATGCAAACACACCCGACGGGTAATCTCATTGCCCTGATGACTGTCAAACTACATATGCACAATTATTGGAAGATCTAAACTGCCACACGGCATGCTGTAATCGTAGATTATAGATGAAACCAATATTTTGTGCTTGAAACAAGTAGCGATATAGCAGAAACATCACACACAAAACACTCCCCGTGGTTTTACACGTGGTACGAAGCTGCCATATAATCGAGCCGACACTGCTTGTCGTCACAAGTACATTTAATTATCCCTCGGGAGCTAAGTGACGTTTTTCTAATTGCTTGTTTCGCATCGCGCGAAAGATGAATTTTTTCTAAGTTTGATACGACAAACGACTATCGTACCCGAATAAGGTTCTAATAATTGTTTAGTGATTTTTTCGTAAACGGAAGACTCAGGCATGATACCAAAGATATTAATTGTAAACTAGACACCCGATGGTCTTTGTGATGGTTAATCGTTAGAAGGCGCACAAAACGGTATTCGCTAACGATAGGAAGGTGGCCCCCTTGCACACAGACTCGAACACGATTTTACACACGCGTGTACGCGACGCGCGACAAGAATACGGACACAAGAGAGATACACATTGTGTAAGGATGTTCACCTTATTAGCGAGTTTTAATAATCATGTTGAAAACAACACTAGTTGGGAGACACTCGCGATATTAAGATCGTAGAATTGTACTAAACGTTGGAATCAAGTAATGCATGAAAAACAGAGGCGATCGTGCATCACGAAATATTTTTCAAGAGAAAAC